CAGTGCAGCGTCTTGCGCGTCTTGCATTGAGTGCCAGCTCAGATTGTCGAATCGCCATTCATCCACGCACCATTTTTGGTTGTCGAGCACTTGTGGTCGAAGGTCAATGGTGTTGCTTTTCTCATCTTGCGCTTCGTGGCACAGGAGCATGCTGTCAATGCTTACACCCTCTTGAAGCATCGTGCCGATGATTGCCTTCCAAACTTCGGGGTGGTTCTTTCGGATCTCAGAGAAACGCTTTCGTTCCTCTCTATTGCGTTTCAGGCCTAACCGGCAGCTTGCTGGTGTGTTGAACTCTCCTTTTGGGTTTTGTGGATCGGGACAGTGGAATTGTGGCTGTACCTGGAGGTGAGGCGGCCAAGCTGCATACTGCTCGAAGCTGCGAATTACGCATTTGCCGTGCCCTTTGTCTCCGTCGTTTCCTTTGAGCGTAGTTGACTTCCACCACTCTGGCGGTGGTTTCATCTGGTCAACCGAGAGTTCAATTGCCTCCTCCACCAGGCCATGGTACTGTCTTGGGACATGCTCAAACGACACAGTCTTTCTCCTGACCCGTGACTCGACCGGAGCCCCAACTTTGGCAGCCTCTGGCTCTGACTCTTGCTCTTTTCCCTCTGGGATTGAGTCCTTCTCGGGCGAGACCTGCTCGACACCGACCTTCTCGTCTCCCAGCTTTTCCGCTGGAGGATTTGCAGGGCTCGTTGCCTCTGCGGCGATGTTTGGTGGCAAAATTCCGTTTGCAATATTGTATTCCAGGTTCTCGAAATACTCAACCACCGGATCCTTGGTCAATGGCTCTGGTTCGACGTGCGATGGCTCCACAGGTGACCCCTGAGCCACCTGGTCGCACGCGACAGTCGAACAGACTTCTTCTGTCTTGATCTCTTGCTGGAGGATGTCGATTCCAGCGTAGGGAGGGGGAAAAGGAAAGAAGAACTCTGGTGGCGGATATTCGCCTTGCCTGGACACTGTTAACATCAAAGAACGACATGTATGGGAAGGATGCCCACCAGTAGACCAAACGCGGCGGATGCAACGCATCTCTCATCTCTACGTCCTCCATCTCTTCATAGTCCGTCATCACAACGTCAGTGTCCTCCATCTCCAGACACACGACCTCGGTGGGTCGGCGTTGTGCTTCTTCGTCCTCCTGGACGGCATCGAAGTCCTTCTCCAGGAAGAGACCTGGCTCGGCCAGGTCACTCAGGAACCTGGAGTGGTCGTTGTCTAGGGGCACGAGATGGTCGAGCCTCTCATATTGTTTCTCGAAGCGTTCAGGCGTCAAGTGTCTGCGCTTTCGCAATGTTCGAGATGGCGGGATGGGCTGGGTGTTGGAGAATGGTTCGATCGGCTTGACGCGTGTAAAGTGACAGCGACTACGGTTGAGTTCCTTGATCTGCCTGCGCAGACTGGGTTGAATTCCTGTGAAGGGAACAGCAGTCAAAGACCGGATGGGCTGGATGATGGTTCTTGCAATCTTCATGTTTGCTGTTGTGAGATTTCAAAGTCTAATCAGGAGGAGGATATCGAACAGAGAATCAGTGGCTGAAAGAGCATCAAGCTTTCGAATGGCGCTGAGAGTATCTGAATCTGAAGCTGAAGAGATGAGATGAGAGAAGGAAGGTAGGTCGTCTCGAGATTCAATACTGTCGAGAGGGAAAGAGATGAAGACAACAAACGCGAGAAGGTGAAAACTTTGGTAAGGTCTGCATTCACTGTGAATGCTGCCTTGATCAATTGCACGCGCACATTTCACTCTTCACAATAGGGACCGGCAGAACCATTCAATAGTGTCTCGAGCAGTGAATGCCAGGGATGAATGGCAGACCTTAGACGCCTCCATTCAAAGTGCAAGTAGGGTCGCCTCACCAATACCTCCCCATTCATCCCATTGAGATTGTCTTTCGGGAAATCCACCCCATTCTTCAGCGTCGCACGGCTTCAATGAGCCCTGAATAAGCAATTTTCTGCCCACCACATATTTGTTGACGACACGTGAAGGTCTTGCATCCCTGCTCGGCAGCTTGGGACCCTGATGCTCCTGCAGAAAGGCAGGCTCGGCCAAAGACGACATTGTCTGTAGTATGCACGGCATGATTTGAATCATTGGTAGGGTGGGCTGATATCACGACTTCGGGACGCTGTGTGCTCTCCCACAGGGCTCAGTGTAGAGAGACACAGAGCCATCCCGAAGACATCACTTGAATAACCAGCAATGATCCACCACAGATTTCGACTCTATTGTATGATTGAGAGGCCGAGTCGTGTGCTTCGTGCGATACGATATCGAAGTGCATCATGGTGGCAGATATAGAAACTTCGGCGGCCAAAGAAAGTCAAGACGGAGAAGGGCGCTGTCTCCACCAATCTCGCCTGCTGTTCTCGGCCTAACAGGCGAGGATGGCGTCCACTTGAGAATGTTTATATATATATGTAAGGTTCACAGCAATTAACGCTGGTGCTTCGCCAATCTGGAAGTCGAGTCGAGGAAAGCCAGACATACAGCATGTCTGACCAAATATATGATGTGGTGATCGTTGGAGCGGGTCTTTCTGGCCTGCAAGCGGCGCTTACCGTCCATCATGAAAACCTCAATTACTTGGTCCTCGAGGCGAGGGATCGAGTGGGTGGGAAGACACTGACTCTGCGCTCCAGCGAAGGGGCCGTCAAGTCCGATCTGGGGGCTGCGTGGATCAACGACAGCAATCAAAGTCGCATGTGGAAACTTGCGAATGACCTTGGGCTGCATACTTATGTCCAAAACACCAGTGGCAACGTCGTTGTCCAGGATTTTGACGGGACGCTCGTCAAGTTTCCATACGGGTGAGCTGCCCTTCCCCCGGAGATCTGCTTGTCCCCAGCACAGTCGTGTTGCTATAGAGCTAATCGAGTTTCCAGCGATGTACCAAAGGTTTGAGACCCCATTACCGCCGATTTTGGCGAGGTTATCGGTGCTTGGGCGTAGGATGGTTGACCCTGAGCCTTTGAGCAGTATGCGTCCGACAGTGACACAGAGTCATGTATATCAATCCGAGATTTGGTCGAACACATCTCCACCACGCAGACACCGTCAATCTTCTCGGCAGGACCTCATCGAGAGCAGCTTGACTCCATTTCTTTTGAGACGTTCCTGCGGCAAGCAAAGGTGACGGAGAAGGCGTTCGCGACGGCACAGGTCTGGACTCATGCCATGTTGGGCGTCGACCCGGCCGAGGTTTCAGCTTTATACTTCCTCGAATGTATGTAGTTTCCAGGCCGTGCGTGTCATCCAGAGACTGACGAAATATTGTGTAGATTGTGCCGCTGGCGGAGGATTGATGACCATGCGATCCGACTGCAAGGATGGTGGCCAATATCTCCGCATTCGAGAAGGCACTTCAGCCTTCGCGGAAGGAATGGCACGAAGACTGAAGCCTCGGTCGATCAAGCTGGACAGCCCCGTCGGAGCGATAGATCAAAAGCAGGACAATACCGTCTTGATCTCAACACGAGGACGCTCGCCACAAGTGTATCGTGCTCGGAAAGTCATTCTCTCGATTCCGACACCAGTGTACAAGACCATAAGGTTCTCACCATCCTTACCTGCCGCAAAAAGTGCAGCTGCCAATCACACTCGCTATGGATTCTATACCAAATATATCATCAGATTCACCAAGCCCTTCTGGGCAGAGAGACACCTGTGCGGCCTGGGTCAATCATTCGTTGGTCCCGTATCGGTCTTCCGGGACACCAGTTTGGGCGATGATGCGTGTATGACGTGCTTCATCGGCGGAAAGTTCGGGAGGAAATGGACGGCCCAAGATGCGGAGGGGAAGAAGGCATCGGTGCTAAAGCAAATAGGCGCCATGTTTGCAGACGGAGAGGACATCCGTCCTCTTTTTGTCGAGGCTTATGAGTCACCGTGGATGGATGAGGAGTTTTCGGGCTGGGGTTGTCCATGTCCTGCGATGCCACCAGGTGTTCTTGCAGACGGATGGAAAGCATTGTGCGCATCTTTTGGGAATATCCAGTTCGTGGGCACGGAATTGAGCACCGTCTGGAGAGGATATATGGAAGGGGCTATTCGAAGCGGAGAGAGTGGCGCGTTACAGGCGATAGCTGAGCTGAAGGCCGGGGAGTTGCAGAACGCAAAGCTGTAGACCTCATGGAAGGTCAAGGTGGTCTTGATCCCGGACTCGTTGTGTCTGCGAGGTCGAACAAAGCGTCTGAGACCTAAGGCAGTGGCACAATATCAGATGAAGAGGCAGATCAAGATTCAACGAGCTGAAGAGGTGGTTTCGATCATTGGGTGGGATAGTGCTGGTCCACATGGTTCCTGCGCCTGAATCCGTCTCTGTTCCATGATGGACGAAATAGCCATTCTGCTTCCTACCCTTGCTTTCTGTCCTCCTTCTCTTCCCTTCTCACTGTGTCTACCAAGTGCTCCGCCTCATGCATCTCCCGTGCCCATGAGACTCCGAATTGGCTGTAATGTATGGCAGAACAGTGCTGAAGGGATACGAGTTGTAACTGTAAATGTGAGATACGGCCATTCCCGTTCCATCAGTGGCAATCGTTCATCTGTGAAGCGTGATAAACTTTTGCACAGGGATTTGCCGAGCTCAACGCTGTTCCCCTGCCACGTACCTGTGCGAAGAGCACGAGTAGGTTACATCTATCCCCACAGCATGCTTCACACGGTCGAAGGTAGTCTGCGCAATCCACGTACATAGACTGCCAATCTGACTAGTCCTGGAAATGCTCGTCGAGGGTGCGGATAGGTTGACCCTGGAGAGGAAAAATCAATGCAACCAAGAGAAGCCACCCTTGACGCAGTGAGCGCCTTATCGAGACAAAGGACTCGAATAGGATGGATGGACATTGGAGCTGAACACAGTGTCAGTGTCTCGGATGCGTTGCTCTGCAATATGCATCCCACGGGATACAAGAGAGCCCCTCTTCATTGCTGGACCGCCTGGGGACTAAACCTCCTCGAGAACAGCCTCTTGAATAAGGGCGGGTCAAGAAGATTGTGCGCGTTCCAGTGTCTTCACTAGCAGACCTGCGGCACGGCCTAGCTCTCCACCTTCCTTCCTGGCGGCATCAATGCCGGCCAAGATATGTCCCTGGAAATTTTGTGCGAAGTCGCGCTGTCGATCTTGTTGGTCGTCAAGAATTTTGGTCTCGTCCTCTATCTGCGGCCCAAAGAGATTCAGATAAGCATATGCATTAGATCTCTCTGGCACAAGGAGTGTTTCAACTTCCCAGAGGGGAAAGTGTGCGAGTAGTGGATTAGTGTTAGATGGAGATTGCTCGTCCCCAACAAGACCAGCTTGCAAGAATTCAGCAAGAACTTGCATTATTCGAGCCGTAGACTTGGAGTCCCCCGCAAATGACGCTTTAGTGGAGGACCATCGGCTGGCGTCGACTGACCTCCAGCCAAGGACTGTCGTAAAGCATTCCAAGGTTTGGTGCCAGCCACCAGGGCACGAGATCAATTCTGGGCCAGCGGCTTTGATCATGTAGGACACAAAGTCAAGGGACGAGGATCGAATATCCCGCGATAGATGTGTCATAGCTGCACGCAAGTAAGGCAAAGCCTTGCTCACATGATCTTGGATGTCTTCGCTGGGCAATGCGCGAAAAAGCTTTAGCAACTGAGTCCTGACGCCGGCCGAGCCATCGAGCATGAGAGGACAGATGGAACCGAAAAGAGAACTGGTGGTAACTGGCAAACTGCCTGTCAAGGGACTAGAAGCGACAAAACTCGTCAAGGAAGCAAGGGCATCTCTCCTCTGAGTGGCGGACGGGGAGGTGAGCAGGGAGAGTTGATGAAGAAATATCGTAGACTGCGAAGGCGCGTGGACATCTAGCTGCTGGTTCAAAACGATGGCTTTTCGTCTTTTTAGCTATTTGCACACTTCCACTGATAAGGCCATATACCTTGGGATCTGAAACTCGTGTCGGTATGGTTCTCAGCCTTGGGTTTCGCCTTGCCCACTTTCAGTTTCTGTTTCTGTCCACGATATCAGCTTGTTTGTTACCGGTCTGGACGGGGTCGATCAGCCAACCTGGAAGTTTTTTTTCTTCTCTCTTTTCTTTCGTGCACTGGAGCCCATTTCGTCGGTTGGGCGTATTTCGCAATAGACTTCAAAAGGATTTAATGGGAAAGAGTTTTTTTTCCTCCTTGAAGAATCCGCGGAGAAGCAGTGGGAACAATAAGCTTTTGACGTTGTCGGGCCGAACCGCAAATGGCGACGATCCCAAATCACTCGATCTAAGAGTGATTTTTCACCAGTGTGTGGAGATGGATTCATGTTCGTAATAGAAACTCTCCACGTTGTTCAGCTCCATACCTCCGGTTACACAAGGCTTACAGTGACCTCACCCCACGAGAATAGCTTGAGAGCTTCCCTGCACGTTCTTGTCCAGAGAAAAAGACGCGTCTGGCGCGTCTGTGCACGCCTCCAAAACCACATCGAGCCTACAAACGAGGTCAGCATGAGTTGACATGCACCCAATGAGCAAGATTGAAACGAACTGGTTAGAGGCGCACGATCAGGATGCCTCAGATTGAAAGGGTTTTTAGCTCCCTGCTCTCATCTTACACGACGCTATATTGATTGGTGTTTAACAGGAGATTTTAAACGGTCCTTCCATTGATGCGATGCTGCGAGGTCTGACGGAGAGACCAAACGTACAGTCTACATTGATCCTTTCTCGAAGAGATGGTTCTATCATAAGAGTTACGGGAATCGCCTCTCCAGCAAGCGAGGGAAGGCCTGCGGCTTCTGCGACAGCGTACCAATGGCCGCAGAAAGAAGAGTCACGGCGTGGCACAGATGCGTCAGAGAAGGAGCAATCCTCTACTGCCCATGAAACAGATGATACTTCAGAGGTCCAATATATTGAGAAACCAGTGGAGCGATTGGCTTCATCCATCTTCCAATTTGTGAACAATGCCAATGCAATGGGTGCAACACTGGCCGCAGCTTCTCGCAATGCGGCACGTCCAGACGGAACGTACCCCGGAGCGGCCTATGGCGAAGCCAAAACTGTCAAGAATAAAGAGCGAAACACTGAAGAGGATGCGGAAAATGGAGACACTGAGGACGAGGTCCAGTTGCTCAGGCTGCGCACAAAACACCAGGAAATCATCATTTTCCCAGACCCCAACTACATCTGCTGCGTTGTTCAAAGGATCGGCAAGACTGCAACTGGTCATGACAGGAGATAGCAAGCAATGCTCAACCTTGGTTTTGACAGCAATGACTGGCCTGTTTACCCGAGGACTTGAGGCTATTTCCCCCCTGCGGTGCATTGATAAGTGCTGGAATGATGAGCAGGAAGGGCCTGGAGCTCACCACAATGACCAGCGATAACAACAAAGGAGTGACGGTGACCTCGGGCGTTATCAGATGCAACTCAACGCTGAAACAAAGATATCAACATGGTCAATTCGAGCATCTGAGTGGATGACCGACGAAGGATAGGCTGGTCAGGGCCGCAATTACCTGCTGAATTGAGACAGGCTGCCCCAGATTTTTTATCTGCCTGCCTCAGGGAGGGTCATTCTGTTATCGCGGGGTTATCGCACTTATCAGGAAGCCATTGAATAAATTTCCCCTTCAATGGTGGAATGGGTGCTCACAGCCTATCGTGTCCTCAGAATGCGACGTGCTTGTTATCACTTGTTCTCATTATGGTGTGCTTTGAAAGTATCAGTAGTCGCTGATCTCCTTTGCCCTTATCATTTGGCCCATGGCAGCCCTGGCCATACTGTACTTAAAGAGTCACACGGCCACCGGCCCCCCGCGAGATTCCATCTCTGAGCCTTACTAGTCCTTTGAGGCCTCGCTACGCAGGCTACGCAAATCGCCAATACCGCTATCCAACCCCAATTCTACCCGATGTAGCTCGCCTTGCTATTCAGGAAATATCACGCCTGAAAAACTCACTCGTACAAACTCGTACAACGATGCAGCCTCACTCAATGAGGACGACACCTTCTCGACAGGTCCTGTTGAGGACAGACTTCGGCGTTGGCGGAGCACCGAATAGTCCCGGCCCTTGACAAACTCACAGACTCAGGCTGGCGAGTCCACCTTTACGTCCACCAATGGTGCCTCTCCCACGCATATCCGAAACGGCAATCCAACACCATCGCATGCGTCGACTCGACGTCGGTCAGATTAGCCGAGACAAGAAGAGTTGGAAACCTTGACAAGAACACATTATTCACATGGTAGCTCAGGGTCACCAAGGGTTACTGTTGAGCTGGTGGTATTTCGAGCATGGACGTGTTTCCGGACTGCGCACCAGATTAGGAGGTAAGCAGCAACTTGGCTGCTGAGGCTTGCTGGACGACAACAGACAAGGCGCTGCACTAGTGTGGGGGTGCAATGCGTCTCACCCTGGACACTATCGGAGCCCTTGTTGGGACCAAATACGAGCACCCACCTTTTTGTTGATGCGGACGGACGTTACGCTCGCAAGCGGAACTATTAACTTTACAACAGATCGGCAACGCCTTTTTCTATATGCGAATCTCCCCATTTTAGCAGGGATCCGACCCAAGACGCACCAGGCTGAGCACACTTCTGGAGCCGAAGCACCAGAAGGGATTCGGGGGTCCACTTGTCATGCGTCGGAGGGTGATGACCCATATTGCCGATGAGGGGGGCGTGGCTCGCTCGATAACTGATGGATGGCGGAGTTGAGGAGGGACAACCCAGGGAGACTTGGAATTCTACCAGGAAAAGCAGCTAACGATGCACCTAATAATCGCTTAGGTGCACCACTCCAGCCTCGAGTCATATTCAGCATCCCACGTCTTCTTGTGTGCCACCATCTCGGCAAGGACCGACAAAAGAAAGCCTACTTGTAAGGACAGGGAAAGAGTCGAACGCAGCTCACGCTCACTAACTCACCAACTTTACCTGGTTGCGCGTCACTGCGCCGTCGGGGTGGTGGTCGGAGCTTTCGCCGACCGGATGCAGGATGTGGCCCATACCGACCTCGACCGTCTCAACAAGTTCCCTGGTGCAGGATGAGAGGAGCTGCTCCCCTTCCCCAGATCTCTTTCGACCTCTCGACCGACCGATGGGACTGGAGACGCCTGGATGGTCGTGTGCTTGAGGAGGGTCAGTGGGCCTCGCTCAGATCTATGAAGATCCTCTCGTGCGACCATACCCATCGACTTCTTTGAGGGTTGCGTTAACCTTGGTCCACCACTGCAGTCCCTGCTCTCCTCTCCACCTGCGCTCGGACGGGGCAGTGAGGTATCGTCCCAAAAGGTGAGCTGAGTGCTAGCAGCGCCGGAAGAGCGCAGTGTGTGTGTGTGGGCTCGACAATTACCAATCATGAAATGAAACAGTCCCCGAGCTTTAACCAGGTACGCCAGGTATGAAACGCGGTGGTCAATTGGGGATACAATCATCCCTGGCTCAATCTCTGTCAACGACGATCCCCAAGAGACACGGCTTTCATTGCCCTCTTTGTCCGTTTACCCGGTTGCAGCCACTGTTCGACGGCGAGACAGACAAGCTTCTCTACGGCGACCGTTCTGAGCTGCGCACCTCTGGCCTCTTTGCAATTGCTACGGGTATATCCAGATGTTGTTGGGTTCACCACTGCCTCGGACTACCTACCCATATGGATCTCACCCAACAAAGACAATTGGCTCCCCGATCGCTGGGAGCAGAAGTAAAGCCGAAACGGACCCAAGGCCCCTCCCATAATCCACAGATGATTATCTAGGCCGGCTTCGTTTTCTAGCCTCAACCCACTTCTTGCTTCAGACGGGTATATATGTAGATACACGGTATATTGTGGGGCTTCCGATCCTGGCGATGCGATGCAATTATGACATCTATACGAGTAAAAGAAACATGGATTGTTTCCTGTATCTTTCTGATTCCAACAAACACTCTTGGTGGTCCCTCTTTTCGGGTGAATGGAGTCCTGAAACTTCATGTACCTTTCTTCTTGCTTGATATCTGCCCCCTCTAAAGAGGATCTGCCCAGGCCGACCCAACCCAGCCCAGCATTTTGATTGCCTGAGGCACTCTCGAAGGCCGATGCCAACATCAACGCCGCGACGCGGGAGGATGGAACACCTGGCTTGTTTCATATGCACGTAAACCAGCGGCCGGCAGTCCAGTAGTCAGGACAAACAAAAGCAGTATGTTTAGCGTCATCTGCAGAGTGCCAAACTTACATGGGTGTTTCGAGACAATTTGGGAAAATGGTACTCGGGTACTTGCGTACATCGCTCGGTAGTAGTACAGGTGGTTGGGATGCGATGGATTGCAGGGAAGAGGCAGACCACGATCAGCCAACATGTGGTGTCTACATACCAAGTACATCATGAACAAACCTAGTACACACCCTGGGGAATTCCATACATTCACAGCCTTGACACACCAGGAGGATTGGACTGATTGACGAACACGATAGAACCTGTTTCTGCAGCTCGATGACCTCAACACTCCTTTGCGGCTCATGATGTATAGCTACGTACACGTTTCAGCAGTTCAGGGTTGGTCCCGCAGACTATCAAGGCTGATCAGACCAGAGTCGAGTTAACAGCATTGATCTTTGCCACCAAAATTAGTTCGAGTCGATAAATTGGCCCGGTCTTGACGATCTTCAAAGCCTCGATCGTCTCGAGTGTGATTGGGCATAGCCAAATCCCCAAATGTACCGAGTACATGAACTCGGTCGAGACACTGGTGTCAAGCAGTAACTAGCAGGAAGCCGACCGTCTATCACTTTCGTCACTGAGCTACGTAGCAGAAGGTTCAATGCCCCGTCTGATGACGGTTGTCTCGCCGCCATATACTCGTGTGTCCTTGCCCATATTAACCTCACCAAGTACAATCGAGTTCCGCATCGATCATCCTGCGGCTGCACCAGCACCAGCACCAGCCTGAGATTCAAGGAGCGTCCCGAGCAGGAGGACCCGTAACTCGTGAGGATTTTGGGCCGAAGTCAGGCTGCGGATCCGTGGTATGACCGTGAGGAGAAGACTGCACTTAACCTCGTAATATTGCGAAGGGGTATTCGCAAGGTCCCCCGCGCTAAGAAGGAACGAAATCTGCCCAGTTTGGCCAGGAAGTGGTGGAGAGACAGCTTCTCGCGGTCGACCCGGGATCGAGTGAGGAGCATTCGGGGAAACGTCTCGAACAATAATGGCCATGGATTCGGGGTACCCTCATTCGTCTGCAAATAGCGCCTCCATCTCTGACTGCTTGCCATGTGCTTGAATCTGCATGCAATGTCGTGGCCGAGAAACGGAGAAGGGCCGGGAAGGCAAAAAGTCGGGAGCTCGACGAGGTGAGGGAGTCAGTCGGAATTGGGGGGTGGTTGGAAGCACATGCTTTGGACATGCCACGGGTGCTTACGCGCGGGACCCTTTTTTCAAGGAAGTTACCATCGGCCATTGGGATAGACTCCACTCTTTGGATGATGGATGGTTCGAATACCTCGTGAGATCTGGGCCTTCGGTCCGAGCTAGGAGAGAAGAACTGACTGAAAAAAAAAAAGAGATGAAGGAAATAACATCACAAACAAGGGCAGTATACCGAGAACTCGGTCCTGTCCTTTGCTACCCAGTACTGAGCCCTATACAGGAGATATGTACCGAGTACAGGGACTGCACATGTGCCACTGGAGCTAGAGGGTGGGATTCCAGCCTGTCCCAAGGCTGTGAATGGTCGGGCTAAAGGTTCAGGATTGGGAGTGGCCAATGCTTGTTGCGGGTTACGAGGTGCTGGGCAATCCTCTTGGCTCCGTCCTGTCCGGCCTCTTCTCCTCTCTTTTGACTTTGGAGCCACAGCCACGAGCTTTTTTCGTTCAGCAATTTAGCCTGTCACGAACGAAGTACCTACCTACCCAGTCGTCAGCATCCATCACCCCCAGTACATCCAAGCACCACCTGGCAAATCGACCATGCTACCAGGCTCCTCGCATGGATCCCTTGCACTCCACCGGACACCTGAAACCGGCGTACCGTTACCTACTCAATCTAGTGTGGCGGGACAAGCCTCTACAAAATACATTGGGATGCTCAAGAGACAGAGATCTTCAGCAAGAGCCACAAACTATACAAACGGCTACGGAGTATTGGGGTACAAGGTGCGCCGTGGCAAAATATATGGGGGGCGAGGTACCCCGGCGCATTGTCGCAAGAAGCAATTCCCGCACCCCTCTCGTGCCTCGTCCCAATTGATTGAT